ACTTGAGTGACGGTAACAAAACCTCTAATATAACTAAAACATAGCAGTAAACATTTACTGTGGACTGCATCAAATCACAGGGATTTACCTTGCCAGGAACACCATGACCACCTTCACAGGAAGCAGGAAAGGCTTCCAGTATGAGTGCAACTAAGATAAAACCGTAATATGATAAAAGGCAATGACACTTCAAAATTAATATTTTATAATTTTGAATTATAAATTATATATTAATTGTATAAATTAGAATTATAAATTATAAAAACACATGGTTTCTGACTAACTTGACTGTAGTAATAAAAAACAGACCTTTGGGCTTCCTGTTCAGCAAAACCACTGAGCTCTCATTTCATTACTTTACTAGCTAGAGGACAAATAAAAATTAGACTAAAGTTTTCCAGAATCTTAGCAGTAAGGTCACCTTTCAGCAGATCACAGAAGAATCAACTCTCACTATTCCAAAAGAGGTAAGTTTTCACATCTTTATGGCCCACCACATTTATTAGTGTCTGATTCTACACACTCATGTGTGAGACGTCTTAAAACTGCTTTATAACTAGCATATTCTGTTCAACTGTTTTCTTGGATTTTTAAAATTATCTTACTGTATATCTTAGAAAGACTCAGTGACTTTGAATCCCTAAAATATGAGGCCATACAAGAGAAGCTTTTTTGACTTATATAATAAAAATATGTATATAGGATGTAGATTTTTTTCCCAGCACGTTTCCAAAAAAGTCTGCTCAACAACAGAAGCATCTCTCCTGTGAGGCTCAAAACCTGTAGGGCTCCTTTACCTATGAGCTCTAACAAAGCAGTCCTTATTTAGGCCTTCCAGGACAAGTTCTTCAGTCTGAATGAGTTTTTCTGAAGAAGCCAAGTTTGGAATTCCTATCTTTGGTCATTTATCTCAGCATCAAATTTCCTATTAAAACCTGTGAGAAAATTGTTGGAAGGTTTTTACCCTCATACAAAGAAATCTACTAATTTCACTCTAAGAATCTTTGGCCTGAGACAGAGGATGAAAAATACGATCTCAAAAGGAATTTGTTTGAGAAAGATAAGAGTGGCTGGGAGAAGGAGATTACAGTGCAAAACAGATTTCAAATTTTTAAAGCTGCAGGCACTACAACACAACCACCTGCTGTGGTACCAGAGAACAGAGCAGCTAAAAGTTGGTTTCATTGTCCCATTGTGGAAACACAGTCGATACCTGTCAACTTGTATATCTTCAAGCAAATATGAACTTAATATCCAGTTTCTCTTAGTTCATTCAAGTAAAAATTATGTACTTTTTAAACTTACCTTTGGACTTTATGCTATGTTACTGGACAGACAACAGTAAGTAGCATTTAGCATCATTAAAGCATTATAGAAACATTGATTACCGCTACCCTCAAGCCCTTCTTTGTAGTAAGTAGCCCCATGCACCATTAATAAATCATCAATTACTGAATGGCAGCATTGACCATTTCCCATAGTTCTAGAATAATTACTGCAAAGAAGTACTTGTGCTATAGCATGACAAATATTTTCTTTTTATTAAGAGGTGGTTTTGGAAGCAGGTATTATGATCCCTGTTTTAACACAAGGATGTGAGATGCCAGGTTGGATCCTCAGCTGTATTTGACACAGCTCCAGTGACTGCTGGGAAATTACAGTAAGATATGTAGCCATGGAGATGTCTGGCCAACTGCAGTAAAAATCCAGATTTCCAGCACTGGTCTCTAATTTTAGGATCTAACCTTTAAATATCTAGAGACTAATCTTCAGAAGGGCTGAAGGCCCTCTGGTTCAGAGGGAATACTGCAGTTGCCACCTCTGTTCTCCACGGGAGACAGGCGTCTGTGGACACTGTCAATGTAACGTAACCAGCCTAAACCCCCCGAGGTCTCTCTCAGTGGTTAGATGCCCCAGGGAAAATTGGTGGTGGAGCCAGGGTGGGCTGCGTCGACCCCGGCTCCTGCGCAGTCTCTGCCCTGCCACAGCCCTGAGCTCTCCCCTGGGTGCCGCCTGCACACCAGCCACCTGCCCCGGGGAAGAAGAGAGATGGTAAGAGCAGTGAGGCCCGGAACTCACAGGCACCGCAGCACACAGATGGAGTTCAAGAGGGTGGATTTACAGCTACACTGATTTAGAAGAGTCACAAGTAGTCAGAGTCCCATTTTTCTTTCTTTCTCCCTAATTTCTGTTAGTCTTATTTGTCACGCTCGCAATAAATCTCTTATACAATTATTTTCATGCTTCCCATAAAGTTTAAAAAAAAAAACAAAACCAAAACAAAACAAAAAAAAACAACACGGTAAAAAGGTTCTCGCTAAAATGGTTCTCTGGAAACTTTGTGAGCATGACCAGGTGGTACGAAATAGCTGCCTTCTGGAAAACAGGGCAACAGGGCTCACCTGCTCCCAGCACTCCAGCACAGGCACAGCTCTGCTTGGCAGAGTCAGCGCGGCCGCATGAGCTGGCCAGGTCAGGGTCTACTTAATGCACATGCTCAAGTATCCCCGTGCAATGAAAAGCCAGGACAGAGCCTTTTAAAGAAAATAATCTTCATAAGACTTCTTTTTTGAGCTCTAAGGTATTTCTAGAGCTCCTTTCTTGGTCGATTTGTTGTATCTACGTGGCAAAGGAAGGTGTGCCCGTAGCTCATGCTCTCCTTATCCAGCTTTTATGTAAAGAATCCCAGCTGAAGCCCGGGCCACTGCTACCAATCTGCATACAGACTCCTCAGATGCCTGGACTGGCATTCTGGTTGCCAGGTTGTGCTAACACCTGCACACTGAATTTCTACCGCTTTTGGTACCCCCACCTGGCACCTAAACTGGCACCGGCAATAAAATGTGCACACGGAAAAGACACACCTTCCTTCTGCTCTGTAGGAACTGGCCTCTGGAAGGAGTTACCCTGCACTCAAACTGAGGAGTTAAAAATAAGCTGAATAATGTTGTTTTCCCAGGCTTTACAGCTATGCACATGTGCTGTGCTTCTATAAAGTATCATCCTTCAAATCATTTAAACAAATTCCCACTGTATGGAGAAATCTGCATTAACTTTAGACAACATTTAAGGAACCAAAAAATGTCAAATTTGTATTACAATACAGATGGCGACGTGTGTCCATTAGTGTATTCTGGGCAAGACAACTGCCTTCAGTTGTATTTCTTTAACAGAGGGAAGAAGTTGGCAGTTTCATTAACACTGCAGTATTAATGAAAAAAAAACATGAGACACCTTCATTCCATCAGGCATTTTAGCAAAAACAGGATAAGAGGACAAGGAAATAAACCGGGTTAGCAGAGGGTTCATTGGACATAGGTAAGACCACAAAACATGAAAACCCCACAAATTTTAACATGCAAAGGATATCGGTACATTGCAATGCTGGTTATGGTTAAAGAGACTGTACAGCTCCTATATCTTTGTCTTTGAGGCTTCATTAAAATAAGACTTTCAACTGCAAGTTCATAAATAAAAGGGAAATGACAGTAGTGCCATAAAAACGTAGATATAAAAATAGTGCAAAGCCAAGGGCTGGACACTTTAATCTGTCACAAGTACCCCCAAGCACTACCATTACCACTCTTAAAGAAAACACATACAGAAAACATTCTCTATTTATTATAAATGGCAGTTGCCTGCATTGCACTCTATATATAGAATGTACTGACTACCTTTCTGCTTCCCTTCGAAGCTGTGGATGGAGAATAAATATAGCCTTTCACACTGGCGAGCACTGCCTGCCCTCCAGTCACGACTGGTAGCAAAGTCAGGCAGTACTTATAAAAGAAATTAATTAAGAAGTAAAACAGACAATATCATTTAAGGCCTTTGTCCCTGCTAGTCTGCTCAACAGACTACACTTTCTTAAAATAAGAACACCTACCACTTCTGTTACAGTAACCAGAGAGCGAAGTTAAACAAAAAGAAGGTCACATTTACGGCTGCCAAGAAGGCAAAGTTCCTGAGGCTCGGCCAAACACACCGGCAAAGAGGCTCCTCGCAGCACTCCCCGGGTGCCCCGCGCTGCGCGCACGGAGGAGGGCAGACCGGCGGAGGGTGAGCCTGGCGCCACGCTCGGGCCGAACAGCTCATCTAAACCTGGCAGTCCTTATCGAAAGCGGTTTGGAATTACAACGGGTTGTATAGTGCAAACTCGTATCGGTTCCCACAGATATAAAATGCACAGACAGGAGTCCAGAACAAAAGCCGCCACCGGCCGGGGTTGTGAGGAGCACCAGCCATTAATGAAATAAACTCCAGGGAGCAGAGCCTGGAGTAACTCCAGCTCTTCAGTGAAGTTTCAGTGAACTTATACAGGTGTAACTGATACCAGGGTCTGAATCAGTCTGGTCGTGAGGCACCAAATTAAAATGAAGGGTTCATTAAATGACAGCCTTTCAGAGTCAGAGTAATTAAAAATTATCAGTAACGGATTTTGTTAACCTTGAGCAGGACAGAAGAAATACCCACCAACGGATGGAGCTTACATTTACACAGCATTTCTCAAGTGTTCACTTCAGCAGGTCCATAAGGTTTAAAGGAATCAGTTTTTAACAGGGTTCTTGCTGCCACCCCATGTAAACTGTTGAAAAAATATACTGACTGCCTAGAAAATAAACTGTGCATTATGTACTCAGCATATCCACGCACAGGCAGCCAACCTATGTATGCACAACCAAGATCCCAATACTGTGCACAAAACAGGAGTTGTATCATGGCCTTTCTTAAAATATTAGCTTCACGGTGAGTTTACTATACCCATGTTACTGACAAAATCCATGCCCAATGGCAGGGAAATATTCATACTGCAAGTATTCCAAGGAAGATAAGTCACGTTTGATCTGAAAATGTAACACCTTTATCAAGGTAGTCCAGTCTCTCAAAAGAGAGCTATATCTTGGTTTTAAATAATTTTGTTGGTTTTTACTTCTGTAATTGAGATCAGTAGTATAAATCAAATTGATTTCAGTGCTGAAAGAAATGACATGGCAGCCAGCTAACAAGAAACTGTCACATATATTTTCTTAACAGTTTGTTACCTTTAATGGGACACAAGCTAGCAGGCAGAAGAACTGCATTTGCTTTTCCCTCTCCCCCTTTTATAAAATACCCAAAACTTTCTGAGAAATCTGAGTGTCACCAAGAGCCAACGGAAAGCATGACAGTAATGACCGGGTCTGCAAAGGCAGAGTAATACTGCAGGATCAAGTCATGTGCAGCTGATGGAAGATGCTAAAGTTCTACCAGTCTCAAAAGGTGGCTCGTATTTAAGGATATGAACTACTGAATGCTGTCTCATTTTCCTTTTATAAAACAAAAACTTATACCATACGTACTGCACAATTATCTAGACTTTTCCCACACTGGGACTTGTTAGTGATAGAGTAGCCTGTAAAGAATAGGCACTTATCCCAAGAATTGGCAAAAGAGGGAGTATTATTTGGTAGGTATGGCACCAAAATACAACCATTGTGCTTTCTCACATACATATGCTGTACAGATGGAGGCTCAAACAGAGTTTTATGTTGTTGGTGGGCTGTGTTTTTTCTTTTTGCTTCTGCAAGATTTGCAAATGCAGCAGATGATGCATGGGGATGCCACAAGCAGCAAGGGAGAGGTCACCAATGCTATGATACCTAGTCCAACGAGGATCCCCACAACCTGAAAGACATGGTGGGGAAAAATATGTATTTAGCTAATGTGGAAAATAAAATACACATGTGCATCCATAAGCACAGCACAGGTCACAAAAAATAGATGAAAACTTTAAAATAATCATCTTGGCCCTTCACTGAAGGGTAAAATCTCTTTGCTTCATGCATGCGTGAGAGCTTTGCCCAGCAGACTAGGAACACACCTGCGTCCTGTTCCACATCACCGAAGCGCGCGAGTGGCCCAGCTTGTTTCTGCAAGGGCCTCTGTCGTAATGTCTTAAGAAGATATCGTTCTGAAAAACAAAAGGAGAAGCTGTAAGAGCAGGTTACAGTACTGTGGGGAAAGGTTCAAGACTGGACTGGAAATACAACTTTCCTGACACTGCTTTAAAATTACCAGCTGCCAGCAGACAAGTTCACCTGTCTTCCAAATAATTATCTACTGAAACTTCTCGCAGTTTCAGAAAGTGCGGTGTGTTTGGAACCTGAGCTATTGTATAGCGTCCTTCCTCCCCCACTTTTAAAAAGCATAAGCATATGTGTTCCACCTATTGCACAAACACCTGGTTTGTAATTTGGTGATGATAAAGGGGCCTGTAAACAACAGATATTTCTGAAAGCTAGCAATCTGAGAGATCATCTTCCTGAGGTACTTCCACATTCTCTAGTCCTGCTGTCCCTATACTTTATGGTAATCTTCTTCCTAGGCTTAGCAGAGAAATTTACAAAGTAGTAAATCCCTGTTTTCTTTCTCTTTTCCCAGTAATTCTTATTAAATTATTCATTTTTTCCTCACAGGGTGACTAATGCCCTGCATTACCCTTCCCTAGTCAGCTGTGCTGTAACCTGACGCTGCTTCCTCCTCCGTTTTTCAGCCCTACTCTTTGGCTCTGCAGGTATTACCTTCACCTACACCTGGAGCTCCTGTAACCCTGCACATTTAGAAAAACTATCACACAACTAAAGTTTCTTTTCTCTTTCTCCTTTGAACTGATGAAAACTTGGTAAGGGCATGCCTGCCGAGTCTGTGAGAATCTGAGAGTCTTCCAGTTCAGCACAGTGTTAAGCAATGGTTGTGTACTGTATGCACTCTGAGGCAAGCTGTAAAACTCATGTTGAAAAAGCATGCTCACACACACACATAAATGGGATGTGACGCTAAGCGAAACCTGTTTAGCATGCTGAGAAAAAGAAGGATGAAGAATGAGGAAGCCTCATTATTTGCTGGCTGTGGAATACAAAAAAGAAGAAAAGAAAAGCCATGCAGCATCTGACACATTATTTCAAGTGCTGGTAAAGTCCTTTTCACACTCTCACAGTTGTTATTGATGACTGTGCCAAAAAGTGAAGCTGTCACATACACAAGTGCAATACTCCCTGCACTCTTATGCCTGCTAGGAAGCTTGAAGTCCATACAAGTTGAGACTAGTTGGTATCACTTGAGAAATAACTAGCAGTGTGCACTTCATAATCCATGTTCATAATCCAACATTTTTATCCTCAAGCCTCCTAACCAATCATTCTCTTAAGCAAACACGGCACTAGAGATGGACCAGTAAAAGAGTCCTAGTCCATATGAGCTCTTGAGACAGCCGCCCATGAAATAACCCCCTTTACCCAGTAATATAGCATTTTTTTTTGACAGGCTGTGACCCTTGCAGTTGGAGCAGGTGGAAGACACTACCTGACTCTCAACCAAACTATTTTTATTACACTGGATGAGGGAATCAGAGAAATGTAGTGCTGGAATGGACCTTCAGAAAGCAACCACTCTGTCCCATTTTCCTCAGAGAACTAGCATGGGACCCACAGACATGGCTATAATCCTTTACAGAAAAAGAATGTTGATATAAATAAAAGCACTGGATGAATGAGAAGAAAGAAATGAAGTTACAAGCGAAACTGAACAAAGATGTACCCTAGGGTCTCAACAAGTTGGTGAAGAGCTTGTACAGTGCCTCAGACTAACCCCAATCCCATTACCCTTTACCTAGCTGTTTTTTTCTGCAGTACTTACATCCAAGTTCTGTAGACAGTACCAGCAAAATGTGTGCTTGCAGTTCTTGCACATCATCTGAGCACAGCCCTCGTTTCGTTCAATATAGATCCGACAAACCGGGCACTGCTTAATTGGTGCCTCTGTCCCTGTTCCAATAAGCGATCTAGAGGAGAAGGGAAATACTAAAGTGAAATGTGAATGTAATTACTGTTGATATTCAGCTCCACCGCCTAATGTGTACTGTGCTTATTTTAGAGAGCATCTAATGTTGTTATCTTAATGCACTTAATGTGTAAAGCTTGTTATATTCAGTACAATCCACTGAAGTATACTCACTACTAGGTGTAAAATCATGTAAAAGTGAAACTTCATTCCCTTGATCTTTTATGCTCTATAAAACCAACACTCACTATACCCACAAATGTATCACCTATAGCATTAAAAATCAGCACTTTGTAGGACACCTTGCACCATTCATTTAATAGGACTAGATTATGCAATTTATAGTGCTGTCCCTGCCTGAGCAAAATAGCCTTAAACACCATCACAGACAAAGATCAAACCTGGAGAAGAAAATTTATGGCGAGAGCTCTTTAGCAACTCTTGTTTGATGAAGTCTCAAGTAAGCAGAATGTTCAGATTTTAAATTTCATTTCTTGCAAAAATGACAGAGAACTTTGAACACACATGACTGAACTTTATGAACTTAAAACAAAGATGGATGGCCACAGATATTATATAGTTTAAACACAAAAATGTTTTCTTTCTGTAGATTAATGCCTTATGTAACCTTATCTGTAGGTTGTTTGCACCTATGCAAAATAAGCATAAATCAGATTTCTCATACCAAATGGGACATTTTACACTCATTCTGTGTAAGAGTTAAGATTTCGCTATGCAGAGGTCCTATAAATATTAAGCAGGGGTGATTTCATCATCACAGTATAAACAAAGTTTGGATCCTGGAATATTAGTGTGTTGGATCTTTCATATGGGCACAAGCCGTAATTCTAGCAGGCAAACAAAGCCTTTAGGCAAATTCAAAGCCCTGGAGGGCTTCACCTTTCAGAAGTGTCAGTGGCATCACAAGTTTCAGAAGTACACCAGTAATACTAAGTATTAAAAAATGAAATGTATCATTTAAACTAATATTTAGATTGGAATAATATTTAGGAAACACCAGGAGAGATGGAAAGTCTCAGAGATGCACCGGAGATGCTAGAAGGAAGCCATTCCATGAAACTAATATGAGGCCTAGAGCTAGCACCCTGTGCCAAAAGGAACTGGAAGACCACGTTGCCTCCATGGGTTCCCCTCTTACCCCTGCTCAGTTGGTACTGGAGTAGTTTGGTTTTCCTGGCATAGGTGCTGTGGGTGCCATGCCTCCTTGCAAGAGGAGCAGAAGGTCAGGCGGCATGCCGGGCACTCCACTGGCACTGGCGCTCCTGCCTCACTCGGTGCAATATGGCACACTGCTTGGCAGTCAACTGCGGGGCACCATGTTCTCCGGGGGTCCAAGTGGACTTCTGAAATGTAACAGAGAGAGGAAAAAACCTGTTTATACATTCCCCTTCTCATCCCAGCAACACGTGTCTAGGTACGCAAGACTCAGTTCTGCTTGTGGGTGGGAAAGCTGAGGGCCTCTGCACCCACGCCCATGGGTATTCATGCCTACTCCTCTTCTTTAGGCAGGTCTACAGTTGTGCTCTGCTAAGGCAGTTCCACTGGAAGCACCACAAGAACGGCAATACATGACATGGGACATATTCTTTGACTTTATGGGGAGGTAGAAAAGATGAACCTGCTGAGAAGCACGTATCTTGGACATTCAGCCATTCCATGTCTTTCACGTGTACAAGCCATGCAGTATCTTTCATGCAAATAGCAGGACTATCATTAAATTAACATCAATCCACTTTCCATGCCCTATTTCATCTCTTCTATCTACAAACACCAATTAATATTCACTTTATGATCATTATTTGTCAGGTATCAGATTACAATAGTCAAAGCAAGATTCAGGGTGGAGACACTGAGTTACAACCTCCACTGCATGGGCAGAGACTGATGAATGTTGAGTCTTCCTCTCACACCCCAACCTTAATTCTAGGAATCTGGTCTTGCAACAGAAACCCAGCTGAAACACATTCACTGATAGGAGTGCCCACTGTGTGTGCACTTTTTACTGGCTCAAGTCCATGAGGTGCATCCAAACACTCACACCCTGCAGAGCCTCCTTGGAAAAGGGCTGTTGTGCCTGCAGGAGCTATCTGCCTCTCCTTCTTCCCTAGGGGTTCTCCAGTACCACCACTGAAAATAAATAGATGGAGGGGATGTCTCAGGAACAGGTGGAAATCCCTGACTGTGAGATGTCAAAAGCCATTACAACATTCTTCTCTAGCACCAGCAGATAAAATATTGTCCCGCTTGAAAAGAAAAGGCTGCACAAGGGCCCCAGACATATGCTCTCTGGCAAATTTTGCTGAAATAGTTGAAGGCACTTCCTCCTAAGCACACCCTCCTGTCCACACTGCTACTCTGCAGGAGGTTGCTGGTAGCCCACAGTGAAGGGGGCCAGTGGATGGATATCTAGCAGATGCTCCAGTCAGCATGAAAAATGGTGATAGCAGTTCAGTGTCCAGATACCCAGAAAACAGAAACTGTGCAACTAGAAACTTGTTCAAAGTAGTAAAACTCTCCCCCAAGTTCTCAAGCATTTAAATACATGTGCATGAACACCTGGGGAGAAGGACACCCCATGAACATAATCACCTAATGTGCACTGGGAACTCAGTTCTTTGCCAGTATGCTAAACATCTCAGTTCACCTTGAAAACTTCCAATTTGTTTAAAGCCATCCCTCCCTCCCGTTTGCCCAGGACACTTATAGGGAGGAACCACATAAGGACAATCATCCTCTCTGCTAGCTGCAGGACACACAGGTACACAATGCTCTGACATCAGGTAATTTTTAAGTCTGTCTCAGAGTGCTCTGACAGATGTGGAGAATTTCTACATCCATGGCAAAGGCTGTCATCTATAATTTAGGCAGTGCCACCAAAATACCTGTACCACCCACCTCCAGCCACCTCATGAACCTAGTTGCATTCTTTCCTCTTATTCTCTTCCATTTGCTTTCTTTGCCACCCCAAACAAACAAACATTTTGCTTTCTACTGAACGAAAGCCAGAACAAATTAGTTTGCACCTTCATTTGCGGGGAGAAGACAGACATGGATGGGCAGTACAAGCTGTTTTACATTTTTATATACTTTTTAAAAGTAGTGTCCTGACTGAGAAATCTTTATTTCTGTAGCTTCCCTCAGTGTCTCTTAAAAGATACTTTGAACTGGATAAGACCATGGCCTAGTACTGGCTATTGCATTTAAATTTTCACACAGTAGGTTCTATATGCTTTCTGTTGACAAACAGCAGTTAAAATGAGATAAAGTGCAGTTCCTGCAGATAGCTGCTTAACATTCTCAACTCTGGAAATCTAAATGCTCCTATCTTAGTTTTGGATGAAATACAGGATGTCTGGTTTTGACATCACTGGGATGAGAGGAGTTGGGTTGTAAATCTTACTGATTTTTACAAATTTGTTGCAGCAAGATGTAATGCATAAGATTAAACTCTCCTCTCCCACTTCCTCCATTTTACAAAGAACCTACAGATGGCATTTTGCAATCTATGTTGTCTCATACTGTTTGGTTTGCCATGGAGTACAAGTGAAACCAGAAAAAAAATAAAATGGAGCAGCCAAAAAAAAAAAAAAAGGAAACAGGCTGTCATATTACTCTGACAAGCTGCTCCATTTTTTGGTTAGGGTCATTTCTCTCCTCTCCTGAGCCTTTCTCCTGCTTCCCCACAGACAGTTCAGCCACATTTGCTCCACTCTCAGGAGGAAAGCCTTCCCAAACAGTGCCAGTACCAGGCAGGGATCTGGCCAGTTTTCACAAAACACGCGAGCAAGCAGGTGAGATGTGGGAGACAGACAGGGGAAATGCAGCAACCTGAAGAAAGGAGAATTTCTGGCTCAGGAGAGGTACTCACTGAAAGGATGAGCCTATGCCTTATGCAGAATATTAGGAACATCTCCTTTTAGAATGGACTACTTTTTGGTCATGCATAAAATGGAGGTTCTCATCATCTACCACTGAGCCTATTGGGAAATTGTCACAGAAATAGAAAAATAACGCATAAGTCCTAACCACATCTTTTCTTCTATTTTTTCACTTCTGATGACCACATCAACCCCATCCTACACAGACATAGAGCAATTCCTGTTCCTTCTCTTAAAATATGCTGCACGGAAGCTCTGTGGCTAGGTCCTGACTGAACGCAGGGAAGTTATAGATATGTAAGAAAGCTTGGTTTTAAGTCTGAAAACATTCGTATTCTAAGAACACAAAAATCACAAGAGAAGAGCATATTTTCAGTGCACTCCTTATTAAACTAAGAGCAAGCCTACAGATATACAATTGTATACCAATTACTTCTCACTACCTTTTCACCCAATACTATTTGTCTACTTTTTTAAAAAACTAGGAAGTGGAGAGGAAATCTATTTTATTAAAGCAGCTAGCACAGACAGGGGATGGGGAAAACAACTTTTGGATGTACAATTCCTCCCTCGAGTCTTCAAGATTTCCCTCAAAATTCATCTCATGATAGAAAATGTCTAGAAGGGTAAGACGCACTGGCTTTGCAAATCACTTGAAGACTGGTAAGCAAAGACTACAGAGCAAGAGCAAGTCTTTCAACTTACCCAAGAAGCTGGTTATTTATTTCTAGCATTTTTAGTAAAGCAAAGGGAGTGCTGAAGCAAAATGCCCGTACCTCAACAGAATAAAGCTGAGAGAAGGGTCTAAACATAGGAAGCTGAAGGGTTTGAATAAAGGGCTTTGTTGATCAGAGCAAAAGTCACGAAGGACACCCTAGTACCTGCCTGTTTTGAGGGAGGAGAGGGCAGAGATGGGCAGTAGTGGCCTGGGTTTTCGTTAGCACTAGGTTTGCAAAGAGCTAGGTTGAACTAAGGCTGACACCAACACAAGGCCCACAACAGATCTCAGCTGCTGGCAGTCTCTAGGCAGATTCCGGGACAGAAATCAGCCCCAGCAGGTGCCATCAGCAAGGTTTATTGCTAGTTTCAGAAAAAGACTGTCAGGCCAGCACTGGCATTGGTCAGGGCAGGCAGGCTTTGCCAGGTTATGGTCAGGTCTGATAACAGAGCTTCAGGCCAGCAGAAGCTAGTAAGCCAAGTCCACCTGATGAATCCAAAAAGGTCAGCCTTGGGGGCAGCACTAAATCCAGGATAGGCAAAAGGTCTTGGCTGGGGTTGGAATTAGTGCTGGTGTCTAGGTCAGAGCTTTAGTGAGCAGGAATCGTTGTTCCCGGGAATCAGTAAGCTCAATTTTTTTTTGCTGGAGCCAATATGCAAGGCAAAAAGGCTATGTTTAAGCCTGATACTTTGATGCCAGTTTTACTCATCATAAAGGAGAAAGGACAGAACTTAGAAACATAATGAAGAGAGGCAGTGGAAGTGGGGGAGGATTTGTCAGACTTAGGCAAGAAAGAAAAAGGAAGGAGGATTTAAAAAATAGACAAGTTTCAAGCTTCTGTGTGTGGGAGGCAGCAAAAAAAAAAAAAAAAGAGATGCAACAGGGAGTTGAACAAAAGATCATGAGTTCAGTTTTGGCTAGTTATAGAGGATGAGATACCAGGAAATCATTAGTTTCAGACTCTTCAGTTAAAAAAAGGTTTTACATAAAAAAGAGAAATGTATTGCAAGAATGTCTCTCTTAACCCTTTAATACAGTGATTTAACAAGCTCTGATTTCCACTGTCTAGGGCTGTAGACAAGCTACTGCTTGGCTTATGAACTGGAGGAGCTTTCTAAGGATTTAAGGATAAACAAGAAGAGAGTAAAATAGGAGAAATAAATAAAAAATTAAAGCAGGATTTGGGATCTTTTTTGGCCTGAGTGCCTGCAAATCATAGCTACAATCTGCATCTGCCCATGAACTCTGGAGCATACTTGGGTACACTCATTTTGCAGTTTTTTCACTTGGTGGTCATTCACTGTGACTTATGCCACATGAGATTCTGTGAAAACCCATATATTCTTCTATCTGTCCATCTTTTCAAGTGAATTACTGTGCCTAACTTGTATGAACCTCTGCATTTTCATACACATTCCAAATCGATCTGCATCCAAGCATGCATGCAAAGCAAGAACACAAACACAGTCTTTCAAGGAAAGTTTGAAAACAGGCTGAAGTCAGGGCAGATCAGTCTCAGATACACTACACTGCAAGATACCACGGAGCGAGTTCTTTGAAAAACACTGCAATTTCCAGATGAGACTTTCGAGTTGGTGTCAGTATTTAAACAAGCATGAGACCTCATCTTCCTGACTAGCAAGTTTCTTCTTCAGCCTTGGCAAGGAACCATCTCCTGAAGTAGAAGGCTGACCTCTGGCACAGGAAAGCTTGGCCCCATTAAGACCTTCAGTTTCAAACTTCCTTACTAATCAGCCTTACTTAGTAATGAGAGGTCCAATTATCCCTCAGGAAAAAAAATAAATATACTAGATGTATGCACATGAAGCTTCTACATAAGAAAAGCTCCCTTGCAGGGATGTTTGTAAAAATCTCTATCACAGTTCAGGGCCTGTCTCCCCCAGAAGCTCTGAAGAACCCTATGAGTGTATGAAAAGACTGTGTGCGCCCTGCACCAGCCTCTAGTACCTTGTCTAGTTCTACCAGTAGAACCACCACCTCAAGGACCCAGGATGAGCATGCTGTGGGAAGAATGATGGAGCCTCAGGCACACAATCTGAGTGCACTGCCCACAAGATTGAGTAAAAGTGTGATATTTTCAGTAAGATGCCACTCTCTTAATTCTTCGCCACTGAAATAATTTCAGATTTGTCTTTGGAGCACAATCAGACCTAATGACTGCTCTTAAACTATTTCAGAACAAAGACTCCATCTCTCTATTAACTCACCCAGCAGACTTTGTCTTTGCAGCAGGTAATACTGCTGCCCCCACTGACACTTTAAAAAGGAAGGTAATACAAACCAAAAGGTTCGTACCTCGTTCAAACTTCAGCCTCTTGTATAACTGAAATTGGTCAACAGGCACCAAACAGGCAATCTGAAATGAGAAACAAACACATAGAAAAAAGTATGAGAAACACCTACTTGAAAAAAATTAATAAGCATCCTGTTCTACACACCTGCTCTCTTGAGCTGGCTCTCCAATCCACCTTCTCTTCCTACTTGCTTTCACCACTACGTTCCTCCATACCTTGAATTCCTTCTCCAAAACATAAAGTAGTTCTTGATGTCTCCTATTTCAGCCACACAGCCCAGTAGTTCAGCCCACGTCTTTCTTATCATACATAGGAAAGCCTTCTCTGTGGATTCTGTATTTACTTCAGGTTTCTCAGTTTTATTTCATGTTGGTTTAATGTAACGAAGGGTGACAGCTTGCCAGCCTTGGAGACTGCAGCATGTTGTTCATGCACAAGAATACAACTGAAATGAACTGTTCTTCATTCATGTCTCCCAGTCTTAATGGCAGGAGTCACTTAGCTCTCAGAAACTTAAAAGCTAATCTGGTTTCCATTTTTTATTCACTTCATGGGTTTTGAGCTGAGACAGTTAATGCCATTGCTGTTGGAATTTGCCTTAGACACACATCAGCCCACTGAGACCTGGACTGAAGTTAACAAATTTAGTTGGCATAGACAAACAGGCTTTGCTGATACATTTTACACATTACCATAATTAAACTAGCAGCCTAAAAGGCTAAATGCTCTAATCTCCAATTAAATCTATGTAAAAAAACCCAAGTACCCGATTTAAAACTAATAAGCAAACCTACATACAGGGTAAGGAGGGGTTCAAAAGAAACTTCACAGACACTTCAGGAGCCACATTTGTTGGACTCAGAATATTGAGATCATTCTCTTTATTTGATCTATTTGTAATATTGTACCAGCATTGAAACTGTCTTTCTCTTTCACTGAAAATAAACCTACACTAATACTAATACAAGACCTGATCATTTGAAGCACTATGAGACATTGTAGAACTGACAGCTTCAAAGTGACGGGCTCTTAACCCTCATGTCCAGTATCCCACCACAGTCCTTCAGATTGCTGTAAAAGGCAAAATTTCACCCTCAGTGAAGTAGACACTGGGCCCTGCTATCCTTCTCGGTTGTGTGACATGGCACTTGTAAGAAGAAATACAAAGACAATAAACTACAATATATATTCAATATCATGCTGTGAATACATTTGCTTTCACAGATGGAAAGAAGATAATATATCCATTTGTATATTATAAAATATGAACTTGCTTTATTAAGATCTAAAATCAATTTGAATTAAAATTGCATTTTGAAGCAGATGTTTGGATCATTTATTTGACCTAAACCAATGTCATACAAAAAAATAATCCAACTCATATCAAGATTTACATGTTCAAAGATCCTTCAGAGACTTATAGTTGAAGAAATCAAAGGACTTAATAACAAAATGGGAAAGACCAACAAATCTTTACAAAGCATATTCTTAGTCAAGTCAGCCAGCCCTTGGTCAACGTATCATCCTTATTCAGTTTCTGAACTCAGGGTGTAAACTATTTTTGATTTGAAAGCATCTGCATGGTTAAACAATATTAAATTAATGACTGTAAGACACAGAGCGCTTCCTAGGAAACTCTTCACCCGTTCATCAGAAGTCAGTTGAAGCATTCTTGGAAAACACATAATAACTTAATCAAATGGGGAAAAAAAGTGAAGTTCAGCAGCTTCAGCAAAGAATGAAGCCAACTAATAAAGCTATATAAAACCCAGAAAACACATCATTACAGTATTGCCCACTCTTCCCGGGGCAGCTTCAAATCTAAATAGGTTTGGAAAACAAAAAGAGTCAACTGCTTTTCTCTAGCTGGGTGAACATTGGCAAGTACTTCAAATTTTCCTTCATTACAACTAAATTAAAACAGCAAGTCTCGATGCTGTAAGAGCCACTTGAGTGAACTGTTTAGTTGTCTGGGGTCTTTCTGTGCTTGCTTTTGCTTTTAACAAACAAGTTTTTCAAGAGCAGTTCTATTGAGCCCAGAATTTCCCATGTATTAAAAATCAGCCTTTTTGATTACCGTGGGAGCAGAATTAGGAGTTTTACTGCAGATTTCAACAGGAAGCAGAGTCAGTGCTGAAAGATTCCCTTTCTCCTATTGAAAACCTGATCTTACCATGCCAGCCTTCCCCACTGGTTTCATCCAGCCCCACTCTTCCTCCTACGTATCCTCTCCACAGCTCAGCTCCCCCGTCCCTGCACGGAGCTCCAGGCGTTGAACGCACGGAGCCTGTCGCCTCCGCCATGGGCTCCCCCAGGCTTTGTAAGACCAGCTCCCGACAGCACCCGCGTGGAGGTCAGCCCAAGAGGTGCTGAGCCGAAGCCTCTCACAGATTTAGTATCTTCAGGCATGGAGAAAGGAATGCACAATCTGCTGCTGCCTGAATTCAGTGCCACATCAAAGCTGGATGTGCATACTCAATTGAAAAAAAAAAAAAAAATTAAACACAAGTATCGGGTCCCCTAAAAAAAACAGCAAATCCTTTCCTCAGTGAACTTTTAATCTCATTTACGCTTAATCGAGAAGGATAGCTGTAAGCACCGTAAGGGGATTAGGTGTTTATCTCTTCCTACTTGACATCAGAGTCTAAATGTTCCTCTTCATACAACTTCTCCAGCCCCACCTGGGAGCTCATCCCAAACACCACCTCTCCCGCACAGCTGCACGCACCTCTGAGCTGGATGGAGGATGGAGATCTGGGGAGGAAGCAAACCAGCACCCCAGCAGGTGGCAAAGGGCCAAAAGAGAAAGACCATAAGGATGTCAGAAATCAGATGTTTCTCATCCTAGGCTATGAAATTATTCAATGCAGCAAGAAGTGGTACAGGACAAGTTTGGTGCCTTTTTTTTTTTTTTTTTAATACTGCTACAATAAAAGCCTGTGAAGAAAATGAGAGGCCAGGACTCTCCTCTCTTGAAAAGGCATTGATTTGAAACTTATCAGACTGTTGGGAGTTGAAATAAGTTTTCTGTTTTTCTATACCCTGTAAGCAACATATGCAGCTAAAATACTCATTATAGAGCACAAGAACATTTAAGAGCTCTCACTAAGAACAGCAGCTTTCACCCAAAGTAAAAATATCCATGGAAAAAAGGCAAAATTTTGAAGGCTAACTACCACAAAAGGCTCCAGCTGGACACTTGCCAAGTGTCCAAAAAGATTTCCCAAAGTGGTACGATAACCGGTAGTGCCATTACTACATGAGACAAAAGAGCGAATGAAAGAAAATGAAAGGGTTTGAAATAATTGGGTTCAGTTTACACAGGGGAAGGCTGTTCCTTGTAACCCGGGCAGCGCAGTAACCAGGAACCAAGAAAGAACAATTCCCCTGTTTTTAAACACTGGCTACCACAGTGGAAAGGGAAAATCACTACTCCACCTCTTCTCAGGCTTTTAAGGGAGATGCAAGGAGGCAATCAAGAAAACTGCATAGATCTTAATTCCTTTCACACCCGTATGAATCAAACCTTGATAATGCCGAGGGAGGGAAGTTCACCAGGACAAGTGCTTCTCCCTTTCCCGCTTTAGCAGATACTCAGCAAGGGCAGATCCCACTCCGGCAGCAGCAACAGCCGCTTGCAAAGTGTTGCATTGCCCACCACAAAAAGGTCCCTCTCACAGGAGGCACCGTCTAGTTTTGCAAGGAGTGCAAAATAGTTTTAACTTGGGCTGTGGTTTGTTTTTGAAAGGGGTATGCGAGTTCAATCTCTCTGCTGTTAGAAATCACATCCACACCCTTCTTCATCAGATAACATGCTCACTCGAGTCATCATGAAATATTAAATTATTCATTTTCTCCATTAAGGAGCTCTTCTCTTATTTAGTGACAAAAAATTAAGACTCGCTCATTTGCTCCCCTTGGATTTATTTAAAAACAAGTAAATAAGAAGAACAAACATTTTAATTTTGACCCCGGAAAAGACAGGGTGGCCTGCAACATTTTCTCACCTTCCTCCTCACTTTACCATTTCAATCGCCCCTAGCAAAATGTAAACCAATTTTCAAATTAAAAATAAAACTGGTATTTTAAACTGACTCCCAATGGGATTTTTGTTCAGCTATGTATAGAATATAAAGCAATTAAGAATTCTAAAATCTGGGTCGCTGTCCCATTTCAGCATTGCTTTACAAAGCACTGACAACCCTCTGTCAGGTTAGCCCTGGTGTAGACCATGGATTTACACAGAGGGAGGGACAATAAGCAGAATCTGCATTGCATGCAATGGGGTAATTCTCCTTGTGAAAGTTAAGAAGCAAAAGGAGAGCCCAAATCAGTATCTCCTTTACTGCCTGCTGTACAGTTACAATCCAAATCAGATTATGTATCATTGGCATCAATTTTACAAGCTTCAAAACAATACAGGAATCAGAAATAGCAAAGCACAATCCCCTACACATTATCCAAGTGAATATTGCATTAGAAATCCCTGTATGCAGTTAAGACTTACCCTGATTCATAGCTTACACTTGTGATTGAATTTGCACCAAGTAAAACCATTTCAAACCATGATAAATTACCTCTTATTTAGATTAGGGATATTAACTGGTCCAATTAAATCAATGGAGCAAATTCCCAAGAGAGACAGCAATATTCTAGACAGAAGTCTGCACGGTTAGAGAATGCTATATTAATATAAGATGTTCCTTGTACCTTCTGGAAGGAAGGAATCCAAATCATCTTTGTTTGTTGTACTATTTGAGCTTGAAAGGACAAACATCTTGTTTAACAAGATCACTTTCAAACTTTCCTTTTTTGTCTAACCAGCTATTTGAAACAGAATCTGTAGCCAAAACCATTGCCTTCCCACCACCAACACCCACTTATTTGTACTTAAAACCAGCTATACCACAAACAGCTGCTATCTTGACGTAACAGGTCAAGATACAACCTAGGATTGCACTTGATTTCAAGCACTCCAGTGGAACAATTCCTTTTGTTTGAATGCACTGTTTGTCAAAACTAAGTAACTGCTGGGGAACAGATCAGTTCTAAGTAGATTTTGTTATAGTAAAAAAAACAACCAAAGAAACAAACAAACGGGGGTTTCAGAAAATATATTTTCAAAGTACTGAGAAGTACAATTTTCTTGTTCAAATATCTTTTCATTTTAAGTTTTTTTAAGAGTAAAAATCTGGAACATTTTCTTCTGAGGTCCAGAGAGACACAAAGACTGAAAGTAGAGCCTTAACTCCCAACATCTCCTATACTCTGTGAGTAAGCAGTTTACTCCCCAAACATTGATATATACTCAATTGTTTTAGAGACACGTTCCCAACCCACAGTTGCTCATTTCTTCATGAGACATACAAGAAGAAACTCTATTCCCTGTTTAAAATGTTAATCAGAGTTTTTGCCCCCCTCCACCCCTCGAAAACAACGTGAGAAGCACATGTCTCAGAATCAAGGCAAGAGCTGTGAAAAGGCTCTCATAACTTAGTACCAAACTAGATAAACTCTGAGGAATTTTACTGAGAAGATAAATCAGACTTAATTCACAATGAAGACAAATAGGTCACTGGAAAACACTGAAGAAATGCTACACAACTTTTGAATAAGGACTTTGAGAGAGGGAAGTAGAGGAACTTTCTAGCTATAATGTGTTATAAATTGCTTATAAGCTTTGTTATTAATCGTTTAGTTTCCCTATTGAAGACAGCTTAATCCAAAATGCACTGAAGTCAATGAAAAGGCTTTCTTTCACTTCAAATTATGCCTAAATTCACCTTATCTCCCTTGTGCAGGCAAGGGCAAAAGGCATTTAAAAAGCAAACAAAACAACTGCCTTAGCTAACAAAATTAGACACAATTTAGCCCCAAGTATAGGAACCCATTTAACACCATATCCATGACAAAGACAGTTTGAACTGCCAATTTTTCCCCAAACTGTAAAACTGTAAAAGCACCTTGGTAAACATCGGCAACAGCAGAGTCTGAAATGGACACGATGTGAAAAATACACTTTTTCAAAACCCTGATGCTAACATGGGACAAAAAAGATCCATTTCCTCCCACCTCACCCCAGTACAGGCAACATGTCATTCCGCAGGGCACTGTCCTGGTGAGGAATCTTCTTCTGGGAGAAGCCAGAGACCAAACTTCCAGACCCTCCAGAGGTGAGAAGGCTCATACATTTGCACTAGGAGTTTCAGAGCATGTAAGGAATAAACTGTAATTCTAAATAGTACTTCCATGCCAAACAATAGTCATATTTAAGCACATTCTCTACCATCTGAATAAGGTTCTGGTTTTTAAGTAATCGGTTTTAAAAGCTAGATTTTCACATGGGACACCTTTTATACAGAAGAAAAAAGGATATGGAGTGCTCATGCATAATCTGTAATTTACCTACTAATCTTTCAGATTATTAATGGAGATAATCTATTCTTTCTACTGTTCCTGGCATTTTGGGGGATATCTTCCTTAAATAAATAGGTATTTGGTAAAATACATAAACAATCCACTTCAACCAGGTTGGGGGCCCGTTTGCTTTTCAAGCGGAAGGTCTGTGTTTCAAGCACGTCACCAAAAGGGAGTGTCAGAACATTCATTCATCCGCGGGACAGTAATGCACATTTGGGCTGTTTAGTCATTCTGCCTTCAGCCCAAAAACCATCCAAGGATTAAGCTAATGGTCCTTTAATACATGCCATTGAGTGTCCTCCTGCTTTACTAACAAGAAATACATCCCTACAATTCCTACAGCATCATAACCCTATCTTAACAGAGCAGAATTCTTCCTCCCGTTTGTTAATTTTCTTTTAAAAATGCATTTTCAGTAAAGGCTAGTTGCTTCCAATCTGGTGGGATGGGTGGGAGGAACATTGCTACACTCTCCCTGCATCTATGCAGAAGAAAGAGGGAAAGAAAACAGCTGTCTCCTTTCCACAGTAGCTGGATTCAGCCAAAGAAAAGCTCCATCATATGCTTGGCATGCCCTAACAAACATAGCTGCAACTCCCAGGCCCTGATTCCGCTAAGCATGGTGTTTCAAATGTATGCTGGAGAGCCTGAAAATTTCTGGAGAAAAAGGCATTTTTGGTACTGGGGGTTGCACTGCCACTGACTGCATTTGAATAGGATTATATACTTCTACCACAGTTATGTCATCGGTATACATGGGGCTCAAGGGAACCCAGAAGATAAACTGCTTTTCTTCAGTTGCTGATCAGATTCTCCTTGATTTTGTCCCTGCAAACAAATGCAGAGAGAATGCACAAAACCAGCCAAAAGCCCTTAGCCACCTTTTTTTCCTGGTTTACTTTTTTTCCTATTCTCAGGCCCAGCAGGGACCTACCTGGCTCACAAAGCAAACAAGCAAGAATAGCCACGGGGCAACATCAGATTTGCCCGCAGTTTTCCGTGGCCTTCTAGATGCATAGGACAGCTGGCACGTCTGAGGGTTCCAGCCACACTGCCAACAGCTCTTCCCCATGTCATGGGTTTGGCGCTAAGTCCAATTCCGAAACTTTACACCAGCCCTAAGTCAGGCAGGAGGCTGTGTGAGCATTGCTGGGAGGCCAGCAGGCAGCCTGGTGGGGGCCATCTACAGCCCCCTTGAGCCTCGTTGTCCCAGGCGGTGCACGAAGGTCTGAGGAGCACATTTTTCCTCCAGTTTCTCCACCTCCGACTTTCCAACTGAACCTTCCAGTTACACTGGGATATTGTGCACGTGCCAGGTGTGCAAATAGCTCTACCTAAACCTCATTTAGCTTCTGAGCTCTCAACCTCTCCCGTATCTGCCTTGGGAATGAAGACACTTGGTTGTTGCAGCCCAATATAAACGTACATGAAGAAATTCTGGCCTTGCATACCATCAGTTTGAATTCTTGCTCTTAAGTTAAGAGAGGCGCAAGAATTTCAGTGTTTGCAGTCAAATCAAATCTGATTTAACTGACAGTGCTAATGGAAGCTCAGCAATTCTGGGATACAGGGTATTCTGGTTAAGTCACCTGCATGGGTAATTCAGCGGTTGTCCGGATGCCAAGTAAGCCTTTCCTCAAGGCACAGAGGGAGGGAAAAAGGAGCAAAACCCTTGAAAAACATCTGTTTGTTTCTAGTTCCTCTTGTCAGTCAGGCTTCTTGCCAAAAGCTCATTAAAGGTAACTGAAGGGAGAAAAAAGTGTATGATCACATTTATTATGTAGATAAAGAATGGAGGGGGGGTCGTATGGTTTAAAAAAAAAAAAAAAAAAAAAAGAAGAGAGAGAAAGAAAAAAGCATTGATACCTCTGCTTCTTGTAGGGTCCCATGGTTCAAGCATACCATGTCTGGACATGTGATAGGAGAACCACAACCTTCTTGAATTGCCAGCTGCATGTACTGTTTTAGGCACTAGAAACAAGTAAAGAAAAGGAAAAAAAAAGTTATAGCCCACATGTTGGTAACAGACAGATGCTAGAGATGCTGCACAGCTACCACCTCCACTGCCTTAATTGGCTGTCCTGAAGCTCCAGCACACAGAAAACATCAATTAAGCGTGAATGCTACAAGTCGTTACATTGGAAAGAATGCAACAAAGAACAATTAATTATGCATGACTTCATCTGCCGAGCATTGCATTATCCAAGTCAGCAAGTCAGACCTTTCAGCGCTAACAACCCCTACGCTCTGTGAAACTGGGATTGGAGGATTTAGGGGGGGGGAGTATCTTTCATCCTAATTAAACAGGCTTCACTCTTTTGTCTTTCCTCTTGTGTTCTTAATCCAGACTCTCAGCCAGCAGTCTCCATTGTAGCAGACCTCATTTACAAGAAAGACGCTACTGTTCTCAGCTGCATGAAAGGGGAAGGGGGTTTATAACCTGGTTAGGAGTTTATAATCTGCCCTAGAAGAGGTGCAGCTACTATCTTCCCCTTGCCCCCTCTCCCTCCGATCCCCCACCATAGATCAGGTAATTTCCATGGTTTATCATGATGTATCATGAGCCTCTACTCTACTGAGCAAGAATTGGAAGTCCACTTCCAGCATGGAGGCAGCCCTATGAATGTTTCCAAATTGTTTCATTACACAAAAATGACAGGCCTCCCCCCTGCAAGGGAAAAAAAAGCCCTGTGTTCTCCCCACATTTTATTTAGCATACCAGTTTCACATATGTTCAGCTTGTCTTTTTAACACCTATTATAGAGTCTTCAATAAAATAATGGCATAAAACTGGTGCAATGGACCAAAGAACAGTGTTTGAATTGTATCTCCAAACTGCACAGGTAAGTAAGCGAGCTCACTTCTAAATCAGAGAAAACAACCAAGTCTCCTCAAAATAATGACAAAGTATACCGTAAATTCCAAGTCACTCTTAACAAAACAACAAAACATGGATTTCTGGCAGATTTTGGTATCAGCTTGCATAGTTTATTTTAAAAGAAAACCAATATATTTTACAAGCAGCAGGACAAATGCAGCTTTGTTCCTACAGATTTGTATTTCATACCCATGTGATAAACCTCTCCTCCTCCTCCTCAGTACTGCTGGCTTCTTCCCTTATTGCCTCATCAGTTTTCAGGAAATATGTCAAAGCATAAGGTCTTTGAGATCTCTGCCTCTGCCAACTTCAGGAACAGGCACAAAGTTCAAAAGCTACTAGGTGGGTTATAGGGAAATCACAACCTTTCAGAGCATCAGCTGTGGTAAAGCCCCAGGACTCCACAAACTGTTCTTCCAGTATTTGTAGGCATTTAACATTCAAGTCTGCATTACTTTGGACTGTTCTGAGGTCTTGCATATTGTGCTCTGATTAAAGAAATATCCTCATTTGTATTTTTAGTGGAAAACTGGTACTCTCTTAAATGCCAGCATAATTAGGACTTTTACAAATGGAAACGAGGTTTCCTTATTATTCTGTCTGTCTCTCTACTGAAACGTCCACGTCCATATGTTTTGGTTAATTCTGATGAACTATACAGAGATACTAGTTCAAGCAAGTAGAATCAGCTTAACTTAGTGGCATCTTAAATGAGCTTACTTTTGATTTGTAAATATTTGAAGTGTATTCATTTAGAAGAACGTAGGGGTATAACCTAAATGGTGAACTTTAAATATCGAGCTCATTAAGCACTAATGGATTCCGTTTCAGCATGCACCCCTATACAAAAGCAGCAGAGCAGGCTGTAAGGAATTGATGGTGCAAGTAGTATGTGGGAGGTGAGGGAGATACTCACAGGTGAGGAGCGAAAAAGAAATCATGTCAGTAACTGAAGGCAGTATTAGATCCCTAAGCAATAGCAGCCCAGATTTAACCAGGAGCTATTCTTTTATTATTCAAACAGCAGTCTCAGTGCTCTGTCCCATCTCCTCACCCGCCTCCCCCAGAGGCATCTAGGCACAGTGCTTATAAAAAGTCAGGTGAAGCACGGGATCAAATCACCCCACTGGCACACACAGCTCCTCCACGGAGCAGTAAGCAGAAGCAGGTACATAACCACAGTGGTGCTGGGGAGCAGGTACCCTGGAGGCACTGGAGCTCCTGGGGCCCTGCTCACATCTGCTGCCACCACAGTCTGGGCAGTGGCAGCAGGTGACACAGTGAAAGCCAACAGAAGTGTCCCCAGAGCCCAGGGTGGCTTCCCAATGCCATTACTGATGAGGAGGGAGACTGTGGGTGACCTGCTCCTGCAGCTTCACATTCATTAAGCACCTGGCATTGCTCACATGCTTCAGACCCGTATCACAGGAGACATGGGGTACCAAGTGCTCACGCCCTGCACGATTTTCCTCCCTGGTTTGTGCCTGTACCCAGACTCCACCATAAAAGATGCAAACAGGAAATTCTGCCCTCTGGGTCCCTTCCCCAAAGCCTGTAGGTGCTGCAAAGTGTTGGGTGCAGTTCTTAGATATGGGGGTGATGCTCCAGCAGAGCCTCCTTGCATCTCACTCCCTCTCCTCGTGGGAGACCTGATTACTTTCTGGATCAAATCTCAGGGCAGCATTTGGGAAAGGGGCAATACCTCCCTCCCACCAAAGCATTTAGTGTGCCTTAATTGCTCAGCAAGCATGGGAGAGCAACCTTTTACTTTTGCTAAGATCCTGGCTTCTGTCTCCTCTGTGGTGCTGCCTGATATTTAGTAATTTGTTTTGACAGCATGGTGCAGTGGATTTGTATTCTGGGGGCAGCTCAGGTCAGCTGGTTACAGTGAGAGGACAGAGCCTGAGAAGTTACTGCAGGCCCAGCAGCAGCCCAGAGGCTTGTTCTTAATTTAGACTTCCAGGACAGAAGCTCAGAGCACTGACAATTACCCTTCCGTGCAAGGATGGGCATGCAGCTCTTAAGGAGCTTCGATCCACAGTATGGATTTTGCAATCAGTTTCAATATGCAGTATCTAAATCATCAGGGGTACCGAGCCAGGAGAGCAGACGTTTCTGAGGATTGCTAATGCATCTGAATTCTCCTTCTCTTCTAGCTCACTGCTTGGCTGTAGGTGAGGAGAGGTGAGCAACGGGAGCCTTCTACGATACTTTTAGAGGGTGTTGTGTTTTCAGAGAGTGACTTGAAGAAATTTTATAACAGGTCTGTGCAGTGCCATAGATCTTCAAATGTTTCACATAAAACCTCCCTGTTAAATAGTTTTTATAGGTATTAAATATTTTGCCTTGATTTTCTGAACTTGGAGAAGGTGCTGTGGGTGCAATTTGAGAAGCTGATGGAAGGACCTAAAGGTGCTGGGAAACTTGAAGGAAGCATTTAACATTTACCACTGAAGGACTAAGCTTTTTACCTAAGTCGGTACATGAATGAAGGTGTGAACTTCTTGTTCCTTCTTTCACTAGTTAGCAGCAAAGAAGAGACAGTGGAAAATCACATGCCTTCACTTTAACACTAAGACTGTTTTTAGAGGGGGTTTCCTATGATTTACAGCTCAGCTACTAATTTATCTACTTACTTGAAAAGTGGCAAATAGAAGTATCTGAAAAGATGTACAAGCTGCAAATGTGATGAAAAGAGGATTCAATGTCTATATAATGAATCATGATTGACCTTCTTAGCAGTATGTCTCCCACGCTATGGAGAATACATTATACAGACATAAAATGGTAAGACTTTTTGTGCATTTTGTCTACAAAAATCAGCAGTATCTCAGGAAAACTGCACACAGTACATATGCTACTTAACTGCTCTACAAAGTGAAGGTAAGACCAAGATACCTAGCTTTCTGTGTTACTACAGTTCCTTGAAAGGATCTTAACTTTGAAATCCAAGAAATCACTAGGTCTCAACATCCTTGGGCTACACTCCCCCAACAATTCCCCACAGTGTGGTGACTTGCAAGCACAGAGAGCAGCAGCTGGAGAGGCCACACCACAGGACCTGTGGCTTGCAGTGACAGTCAGACCATCGCCTTACTCTCCATGGCCAGAGCAAGTCATCAGCAGTGATCTTCCTACCAGCACAGAGAGGTTTCCACGAATGCATCAAATAGTCAAGGCAGAACGGTTGAGGCAACAGACTAAAAATCTACTGAGGTCTTGCTGAACAGGTTAGAACCCTGTTGACTACAGATGAAATTGGAGGTTTGGCTCCATTACGTTCACCCCTGCCCTTGTGGTGGTAGACACCAACATAAGGAATTTTAACTTCCATACCTGCAAGTGTACCCTAATCAGTCACGTTCAGTTTACTGAGGTTTTCCCCACTGAGCAACTATACCATGTACATGTCTGTGTTTTGGGGTACATAACAAAATCCTGATGCAATCAAGAGGGATCAATTCAAATGTGATAATGTAATTCCAACAGCAAAACTCAGTACACCTAACAGAAGGTTTTGGTGCTGATCTAGCTTTGCCAAGCATGTTTTGCTCCTGCTGGACTACTGTCAACTTCAGTGGAAAGACCGCTATAAGTAATTTTTTCTCTGCCTGAGATTCATAATATATAATGACACTTTTTAAAAATAATTTGCTGTCTAAGCGTTTTTGGGCAAGAATTTTTTTCCTCTTACACCATTTTTGTTTTTCAGGCCGTCACCTTCCTCTATTTAATAAAATAAGGTCAATATCCATTTACCTACTTCACAAAATACTACTCATGAGTATTTAGTAAGTTAAAGCCTGTGAAGTACCTGGATCAATTTATCATGCAACATATAAGCATTTCTTTTTTATCTTGCAGGACTTGTAAGAAAGATTACGATTTAGGCCAATATTTGCATATGCCCCAAGTGCACATTCCTCTCATGGAGCTAAGGCTTTGTTGAAAGTGTGTGTTGTAACATGAGGGAATAATCTTTAAATAAAACACTGGAAAGCCCAGTCCAGGAATGCACAAACTAATAACATAAAAAATTCCTTCTTCAGTAATAAACACTTCCTCTAATCTTAGAAAGTGTTTTCTATGGTCA